GGGCCAAGGATACTTATTTATTCCTTAAATTATTTATTTTTAAAGTATATTTTATTGACTTCAGAGAGGAAAGGAAGGAAAGACGGATAGAAACATGAATAATGACAGAGTCATTGATTAGCTACTTTCTGCACACCCCCCAATGGAGATTTGCCGGCAACCTGCACATATCTTCTGACAAGGGCTGGAATTTTGATCGCTGTGGTCAGCCGTTTTCAACCTTTGGTTCGCGACCCCTTTGGCAGTGGAACAACCCTTTACAGGGGTCGCCTAAGATAATCCTGCATATCATATATTTACATTACAATTCATAACAGTAGCAACATCACAGTTATGAAGTAGCAACGAAAATAGTGTTATGGTTGGATCAGCAATGAGGAACTGTATTTAAAGGGCCAGAAGGTTGAGAACCACTGTGCTAGGTCATGGGTTTATGCTCAATCACTGACCCATACTGGGCAGCCTTTATTTATTGATTCTAGAGACAGGAAGGGAAACAGAGAAAGAGAGGGAAACTGATCTGCTGTTCTACCCATCTAAGCATTTATTGGCTGTCCCCTACATGTGCCCTAGAAAACCCACAGCCGTGGTGCATGTGGACCACACAGTCAACAGGAGAGCTACATGGCCAGAGCTCTGAATTTGTTTATTAATTTCAGAAGCTCATATGGGATCTTGTCAGATTTCTCTATGGAGGGTCATGTTGTCTCTTAACATCAACATCTCTTTTTTTTTTTTTTAAGTAGAAGTATATTTTATTGATTTTTTACATAGAGGAAGGGAGAGGGATAGAGAGTTGGAAATATCGATGAGAGAGAACATTGATCAACTGCCTCCTGCACACCTCTACTTGGGATGTGCCCGCAACTAAGGTATATGCCCTTGATGGAAATCGAACCTGGGACCCTTCAGTCCGCAGGCCGACACTCTATCCACTGAGCCAAACCAGTTAGGGCTCAACATCTCTTATGAAGCTTTGTGGTTCCTAGTGTCAGGTATAATGTCTTACCTTTCATTTCTTTGAACATTTTTTTTTCTTCACCAATTGACTTCCCCCAGCCTCCCCTACCCCCCTGAAGATTGTTGTTGTTTGTTGGTTTTTGTTCTTTGCTTTAGTCTAAGTCAAGAGTAGCCAATATTTGTATTGTTTTATTTTGCTTTATCTCCTTTTACTGATGCTTGTTTAAATATTTGAGGCTGGGGAGAGAGAGAGAGAGAGAGAAAGAGAGAGAGAGAGAGAGAGAGAGAGAGAGAGAGAGAGAGAGAGAGAGAAAGATCCATGTGAGGGAGAAACATCCATCGACTGACTTTGCACACAAGGTAACTGGAAATGGAACCCATATACTGATATGTGCCTTGACTGGGAATTGAATACTCGACGCTTTGGTACACAGCATGATGCTCCAACCAACTGAGCCATACTGGCCAAGGCATTATGTGGTTTTTAAACACAAAAATTTCTAGTGTTCTTTTAAGAACAGGCCACTTTGGTCAATGATAGCAAAAGCACAGGGGCTGCTGGAGATAATTCTGACCCTTGTTTTTTACTGTACGTATTTTCAAATATGTTTATTCACCCAGTCTTTTCTGGTCATTCTTTCTGTACACTTCTTTATTTCTGTCTGTTATACCATCTTCATGTTACTCTTACTCCTATTTCATATGGGGTTTTTGTTCATGAGTAGCTGTGTACTTACACTGGGCTCGGGGGAGATGGTCATATCTCTAATTCTGCATTCTTTCGGATGTCACTCACATAGTTGGGTTTTTAAAAAATATATTCTTAGTGATTTGAGCAAGGAAGGGAGATATGGAAACATCAATGATGAGAGAGAATCATCAATCGGCTGCCTCCTACACACCACCTCCTGGGGATGAAGCCTGCAACCCCGGCACATGCCCTGGCCGGAATTGTACCTAGGACCCCTCAGTTCCCAGGGAGACGCTCCATCCACTGAGCCAAGCCAGCAAGGGCTCAAATAGGTCATTTGTCTGTTGTCTCATTTGTCCTTTGTTGTTCTACTACAGTGTTGATCATCCACCTTTTTTGTTTTTCTCTGAAGATTTGCATCATTTATCCCATGGAATGGGTCAAGTGGGATTTAACCGGAAGAATCCTTTGTTCATCACATAAGAAACATAATTTTATTTATTTATTTTTAAATGTATTTTATTGAATTTTTTACAGAGAGGAAGGGAAAGGGATACGGAGTTAGAAATATCAATTAAAGAGAAACATCAATCAGCTCCCTCCTGCACAACCCTTACTGGGAATGTGCCTACAACCAAGATACATGCCCTTGACTGGAATTGAACCTGGGACCCTTCAGTCCACAGGCCGACGTTATGTCCACAGGGGCAAACGGGGTAGGGCAAAACAGTGCTTTATTAATGACACAGTGGTGTCATAGGTGGTCTTGCCTTGGAGAAGGGTCACTGGGGAGGAATTCTTGGTTGGCCTTTGATACATTCATAGCTGGAAACCCAGCATTTTCTTCCTTCCTTTCTTCCTTCCTTCCTTCCTTTCTTCCTTTCTTCCTTTCTTCCTTTCTTCCTTTCTTCCTTTCTTCCTTTCTTCCTTTCTTCCTTTCTTCCTTTCTTCCTTCCTCCCTCCTCCCTTCTTTCCTTCCTTCCTCCCTCCCTCCCTCCCTCCCTCCCTCCCTCCCTTTCTTTCTTTCTTCCTTCCTTCCTTCCTTCCCTTTCTTTCTTTCTTTCCTTCCTTCGTTCTTTCTTTCTTTCTTTCTTTCTTTCATTCAA